GTAAAAATAAATTTACATAAATGGGTATGGATATCTATCTATATAGTTTGCAGGATGAAGAATAATCAATTTTATTACGAATAGGTATTTGCATACTTTCTTTGTTTTTGATATTTATAATTATAATTTATTTATATGTATCAATGCCATTAAAGCCTGGGTTAGAAAACGATTTATTGAACTTAATGCTTATAAATCTAAATTCATGTTTTTTCATATAAATAATTCTAAAGTCCCTTTAAATTTTAAAAGATGACATCACCTACTATTATAGCTACAGTTGCTTAAGTAAAATACATACGTCATACTTGTAATTGCAATAATATACTCGAAAATGTTTCTAAAATTAAATATTTTGGCATTATCTTCGATCATAATCTTCAACGGAAATAGTCCATATTTTATTGTATTTGTAATTTGTAGTCTTATTATAAATACTAGCTCTAAGTGTAACTCGGGGCCCGTCGGACTCGCTGGGAGTGGGTACCGATTTTGGAGACAATGAATTATAAAAGTCGCAAAGGTTGTAAGATAAAAGTTTAGGATTAGTGATATGGATTGGAGATAAGGCTAGACGCTTTGGCGGGATACAAAAATTTAAATTCTATGCCGAATGCCAGTATAAAAAAAAAACTAAACATTTTTTAAGATTTTCTCAATAGTTATTTAATGCCACGAGAAAAACCACCGAGAAATTACAAACAACCGCTAAAAATGGGATTTTAATTTCTAACGCTTTGTTTATATAAATTAATAAAAATAAAAATAAAAATTAGAGTTATTTTGTTTTAATTTTTAATAACTTACAAGTCACAGGCTATAATAAAATATCATAACAATATAAAATATCTAGACTGACAAACCGTCTCCGCTTAGAATCGTGTATACCATGATATGATATTACCGAGTTCAAATTTAATACGATCCACTTGTAACCTACTGTACAGCAGAGGCACATTGACTTACCAGATTTTTATTATTGAACACTCATTATTTCCAAAAGTATATATATTTAAAAAAAAAAATATTTCTTTATTTCTAGTCTTTAAAATCAACATTTTTAAAAAATATATAGTTTTTTTTTAATATTTTATATCCTTAACATTTTTGTTGTTTTTACTTTTTTAATGACAACCTACAGTTTTAATTTCATATTTCAAAGCAGAATATTTTTCTAAGTATTTCAATACATAAAAATTGAATCCATTGCTAGCAGTTTATAAGTTATAAATATTTAAAGTTTAGATTAGTGGAGTGGAGTGGTCCGAGGGGAACCTTATAAAATGTTGGTTCACTAGACTGCTCTCTAAAATTAAAATATTTACAAATAGTTACAAGTTATAACTCATAAGCAGATAAGCTACTCATCTTAAATTTTATTGTTATGTATCAAAATACTCAAGAAAAATATTCTGCTCTCAAATAAGAAATTAACACTGTATTATTAATAATAAGAATATTTAAAAATATAATTTTTTTAATAAACACATTATTTTGTAATGACTTGAAACCATGTAAAAAGTAAATTTTCAAAAACAATAAACATTAATATTGAAAGAGTGTCCTAGGTTAAATGAATCACCCGGTATTATAATTTATCTATGATCATGAAAAATAGAGATGGTTTTCTCTAATGTTCATCGTTCATGTAAATGATTCAACTTATATAGAATTAATTATTTATAAAACAAAATAGTAAAATACTATAGGTACTAAATAAAAATACTTAATACATTATAATATTATGACGTACGTGATTTTATTTATTTTTCTGACATTTCTATGAAATAATATGGTTTTATAAATAAAAATGTATAAAAATAATAAAATATATAACCCTAATTATAATATATATGATAGGTACAGAATTTTAAATTATTTTGATCTGAAAAATAGTGCGGTATTAATATTTAATAATTAAAATAGTAGTATCTTCGTTGATTACTATTATGATTACTATTAGTGCTGTACCATTGGTTATATAATATATTATATTTAAATATATAATCAATGATTTTACCCATTCATTAATCATTAGTAGTTATTTAATATTATATAATAAATTATAATATGTAGGCAATAGGTACATTTTCCGACTAAATGTTTTTGATTTTAATATTACTGCTACAACAATTAATTAAAATTTAAATAATTACTCGAATTTGTTCAATTCATTCTACAAATTAACTTTTAATCATGTTTGTTAATTTTAATGCCATTTCATTAGTAAAATTAATCTTTGATAAAAATCTAATTAAAAATGTTTTAATGTGTTAAAAAGATCATACATAAGCATATAATATTTTCAGAATAAAGTAAAGTAAAAAAAATAAATATTTTGTATATATTTTATGTACCAAAATAAATCATTAAATAAAATCACTAAACAAATTATATTTAAGAATTAAAATATGTAGGTATAAGTACATGGTGTTAAGACCAATAAATAGTATACAACTAAGTACTAACCCAGGGATGGCAAATAGGATTTGTTCAACGTGCCAATTTATGATACAATTCAAATTAAATTTCATTAATTATATTTGTTAACAGAATTTTTACAAAATATAAATGAAAATTGAATGATAATAATGTAGAAAAAAATTATTAAAAAAATTAAGTTTTATTGATTGTTAGAAACATTTTACTTCATGTTAATTAAAAGATTTTTTTATGTTTGGTTAATATGCGCTGTGGCCAGCAAGGTATATAAATATATATATAAGACACATGAGTCTTTCGGGTGCCTTAAAAAATTTCTCCCGTGCCTAGCATGGCCACATGCCACTTATTTGCCATCCCTGTACGGCTCTGTACTAACCAATTGGTCGTACTTCAATTATTGTTTAAAATGATAATAATTGAAATATTGATTATTGTATTACTATGAAAGGTAAAGAGAGGGGTTAAGTAAAAATTAAACTAATTTTTTATAGTTTTAGTAAATACATAATATAAATTATGCGTTTATTTTTATTCCTGGAAAAAAAAGCATTGGGGGTATTGGTTTAAACACCCCAAACAATATACAATAAGTACACATCTAAGCACCCAGACTGAAATTATTAATGATTGTTATAACTTATTATATATAACTAGGTATTTTAGTAGTAACAAAACAATAATTTCAATTTCAATGTGATTTTATATAATGTAAGAATTTAATACTTTAATTAATAATTATCAGTTAAATATAAAAAAAATGTGTATAAAAAAAAATATACCTATTTAAAATACATTTTGAATTCTTTAAAAACCTATAAACAAGGAATGAATAAGTATAATTTAATTTGTAATTTTTCAAAATATTCACAGTAGCATTGTACTAATATATCAGAGGCTACAATAAATATTTATAATATTAACATAAAATCTAGATTTGAGTCAAATATTTTTTCATTATAATTGGTGAATTACTTCTTGAATATAAACACTCATTACTATAAGATAATAATTCAATTTTAAGAATTTTTTTTTCTGTAATAGGTACCTCCTAAAAGTTGAAACTATTTTATATTTTTCTTCTAACTTATTTATAACAGAAAAATTTTATAAATTAAAAACAATATACAATATTTGTTTAGAAGAATAGTGTTATATACTATAAAATAAGTTGTAAAATATTTCTTCCTCATATTTCTCAATTTTAAATTACCATAGCAAATAAATTATTATGTACCTAGTTAATATTGTTTATAAAAATAAATTAAAATTCTCACCATTTTAATAATTATAATAAATAATCTATAATTATGAGTGTTTTATTTTTAACAAACACTAATGTTTAGATACTGTACGGGTAATTTTATTTTTTATATAGTATTAAATAGAATCCATACCTTAATAATTATAAGTGTAAAAGTAAATATATTAATAATTTATAATAAATGTGTATCTTATTTGTCATACATATTTTGAAAGTGTAAGAATTTTGTTAATCATAACATTTTATTCTAAGTTGACTCTCTTATAATAACCATTAATATATTTTTATTAGTTAGCCAAATCAAGAATATTTGTTTATAATGTTGTAGCCACCTACTTTTGCAGTGTAATTATTAATTTTATTGCACATATAAATACATAGTCAAGTTTAAAAAATGGACCGTTCCGTGTTTTTGTCATATAGGAGATGAATACTTGTTTGCCGAAGCAGTGCAAGTATATGCTGTGGATAAGCGAGTAGATAATATTTATTGTATTTAAACTCTACTTCTGTTGACCATCGGTTCCAGATTTCTGTAAAAATAAACACAATTTTTTTTGAACATAGATACATTTTTATCCTATGGTAACAAATGTATTATAATTTTATCTATTTTAAATAATGTGTAATTTAGGCTGAAGTAAAATTGCGAAAAACAAATAATATAACACACACATACATACATATATATATATATTATGCTATAAGGCAGAAGAAGATTTTTAAAACATTGATTCCCAGAAACAGTTGTTAAGTGCAGAATAAAGTGCAATTTTTTTATTAAGAACGTGTGTTTTTGAAAATAAATGTTGTTTTGAATTATTACTAAGTATGCACAATAATGTGTGTTTCTAATGTGTTCCTAATCAGTGATCAGTACAAGTAATAAGGACAAAATAAATAATTATAGTAAAATAATAAAACTAAGAAATACATTTTTTAATTATTCAATACTACAATAAGTATAATTAAAATTAAATGGTTTACTTAAAAATGAAACCTATTTTTATTTTGATTGATCATCCACATTAATTCAACTTGTAATAATTAATTAAAACTTATAAATAATAATTCAAAATTGTATCAAATCAAACACAAATTAAAAAAAAAAAAAAAAATAATAATAATAATAATAATAATAATAATAAATAAATAATAATAATTATAATATATATTATGATGTTAAAAATAATAAATAAGTAAAATAATAAACAATAAAATATATTTATATTTATTAGTGTAAAATAATGTCCCACAGCCACAGCCTCGATAATTTCTCTCCAGATACATTTAATCAGGCAGAAGAGGAGTTGTTCAGCCCTAGAGCACTGAATAGTTTTGTTTTCAAGCCGCTTTGTTTGCCCAACTCAGCCCCGCTCTGTCATAACAAATATAACCGACATTCTTAAACTTTTTCTCTTCTCACTCAGTATTTATTCTCTAAAACCCTTAAGTTTTTATAGGGTATCATTCGTTTATGGAGGGTTAACAACTATTGAAAAGCATTTATTGTAAAATATGTTAAAGAAATAAATTGCTATCTATGATTGTATTTCAAAACTCAATACATACTACTAAAATATACATAAAAGATTAAAGATTAGCAATAATAGTATAATAGTTAATGTGTGACATGCATTAAATGTTATTCAAACCAAGAACAAAATTAGATACAAAAAATAAAAAAATAAATTGTAATTACAAACCTCGTCTAATTTTGTTCCAGTAGAACTGGTATCATACTCCAATGATTCCCTAGAACCAATCAAACGACTTGATCGGTTTCTCCTGTCATTACTATTTACACTACTAGTTGATCCACTAAGAATCTGTGCAACTTTGGCTTGTTTTACTATATCAAAAGCCTATGAAGATACATCAAATTAACAGTACATACATATATATAATATACTAAAATTAATAATGTTTTTTTTTTTTTTATATAAAATTAAAAACCATTAATTATTTAGCAACCAAATATAGTAGAATAACATGTTGTATTTGTCAAAAATATATTTTTTAATATTTTCACTCAATGTAGCTCTTTAAATATTTGTATCTTGCAGTGGTGAAGAGTGGGTTGAAATTTTCGAAAAAAATCAACGAGGTCCAGCTGGTAATAACATGTTGTTGGATAAAAAACAAGTATGAAACATGTGATAGGTACATCAGAATTACCAAACACCAACGCAATAAGAAAAACTAGACTTGTTTAAAAATGTTTTTTGTATGTTAGGAGAATATAAAAATAACTAAAAAGTTTGTAGCTGGTAAATCTCACAAATCAAGCAAAAAAACTTGGAATAAACCATAATTTTACATTGAAATAATTACACTTCACCACTGGTATCTTGCAACATATATTGAAATGTAATTAAACATAAAAAACTTGTAAACCAATAAAAATTATTTAATTTTCTTTCTTATATACCTCTTTTCTAGAACGTAATGCACAGTCTTCAAGAGTTTCTGCAGCTTCATATTTTCCTTGTCTTCTGTATAACGCTCCTAGATTTTTAAGTGTGGTAGTTACTGTTGGTGAATCTACTTTAGCAGCTTTATGCCAACCACCATACTCTGTATATGGTGCTGCACCTGTACTTTTGTTTTTATTTTCTTCACGTTCTTCAGCCACCTGCCATATTGGTTTATTATCGCCTGTAACATTATATTACTTATCCATTTAAAAAAAAAAAATGTTGTCTTCAGTGAAATTTGAAAAATGTTCTTATTGTGTAGAAAAATATTTAATATAATTCTTAACATTTTCTTAACTGAATACCATTAGTTCAATTTATAATTTTAATCCTTAGAAATTTACAATCATGTTGTACAAAACAATTTTTTTTTCAATTTAAGAACAGGGCTTGAATTTGATAGTTCTACTAATTAGGTATTATTAAATTCAAATGAAAATAGCAGAGTGAGCTATATATTTTGTTGCTATACATTTGTTTTATGCATCAAGAATCCCAAAAACAAAATTTAATGTCATGTATATTGCATTACTTAGAAAACTTTATATTATTAATACTATTTTTGACAATTTTATATATATATTTTAAGTGCTATAAAGTCAAAGTCCTGTATATGAATTTGAAACATTTATTTAAAAACTAATAAAGTTAAGTATTTTTTTTTGACCAATATTTATAATAATAATATAAATTTAATATATAATAAGCAAATGTTTAATATGAAAACTATAGTTGAATTTTTTATTTAATATTTTAATTGTCTATATTTTGTTATTTATAAATTATACATTTTAAGAGGGTGTCGGTGCACAATTCGTTTTCTCTTTGACCCACATGCAACACAGCAAATACAGTCCAGCAGTTCTATTTTAGGTTTTTAATATAAGTCTGAATTTACCTTTTATAAAACTTAAAGGTAACATTTAAAGAGGGTATCATTAAACAATTTGGCCCACGTACAACATAGCAAATTTGGGTTCAGCAGTTCCAATTTTATGTTGTTGACTATTTAATATTAGAGTGAATAGACCTTTATTAAACCTAAAGGAAAGAATATCCAAGGCACATTATAAGTTTTTACAGATATAATAATTTTATAGCAAATATGGACGTTTGGAAAAATTTTTAATTTTATATTAAAATACCAATTAATCTCCATAAGGTTCCTTAAGATTATTACCATTAAGTTTGATAATGGGTTAATTCACTATAATAATAAAGCTAACCAACACAAGAATAAATCTACTGAACGCTTATTTGTTAGGTTGCAAGGGGATCAGAGAGAAAACAAATTTAGTACTGACATCCTCTTAATACTTTTAATTAATACTGTATGCATTTAACACAGGTATTTGGAAAAAGAGTGTAATTTAAATCAAAAACCATGAATAATTATAACAAATTTTTATTATCACCTGAATTACTAATTAGATCAATTCCATTTTATTGTATCATATTTATATTGATTTTGAAATCATGAAACATTTTTTAATAAATAATATAAAAGCTGAATACCAAATAATAATAAAAAAATTGCAGGAACGTGCAATATAATTCAATGACTATTGTCCATTTATAAATAAACAAATTTTTAAAACAAACTAATCTAATAGGCAAACTTAAAAATGTATAATAAGACTTAAACATATTCCAAAATACTCAAAATATCTAATAATAATAATAGTAATTATAATAATGGATAATTAATTAACAATTCATTAATAAGTATAAATAGTATGAATAGAGTACATATATTTACATAACAATAATTACTTTTCTTTTTTAAATATATATAGTCATATTATTATATATTGATACATATCAATAGTATTTTATTTTCATATACTTTAATGCTGAATAGTGGGAAACATCCAATAAAAAAGATGTTAATAAAAGGTTATCATAAGGGCAGTTAATCTAGAGTATCTGGAATTTTAATGTTTATCACACTTAATCATCACTATCAACTGTGAATTGTATAAATGAGTGAAAACTATTTCAGTGATTAATGTGCCCCATAGTAGTTGATAAAAATAAAATATTTGTATTGATCCCATGAAATTATATCAAAATAAACTTATTTGAATAGTTATGATATCATTCAAAAAAATTAATTAAGAGATAAAAATAAAAATATTAACTGTAAATAATATAATGTCAGTCATAAGAAAATTCTATACTAATGATTTAACCCTAAGTTAATTCGATTCTTTTTTATTCTTTTTAAATAATAAATTTAAATAGTTGTCACTGCATAAAATAAATTATGTTTATCAATAGTTTAATTAAGTTTTTGAAAATCTCTTACAAATATAGTGAAAAAAATTTAAAACATAAAATTGAAATATTATTTATAAAAACTGAAATTTTCAAAACAAATAATAATAATGGAAATAAAGTACTATTGATTATATTTTAATAAAATAAATTACATATTAAATAATAGAAAATACTTATACCCTAAGAGATTGAATATCTTTGGTTATAATATTAGTAAAGAGATTCAATGTCATAACAAAATATAAAATAAATTTATATAATAAAATAATACAATTTATTTGAACATTTAAAAATATGATTTAAGCACCATGCATTGCAAACTAAAATTTGAATATACTATAGCCAAACAATAATAAAACAGATCAATATAATTACGAAAAAAAAATTATAAAAACAAAACTATTGTATCAGCTAATATATTTTTTATGAAGTTACTTGTACTTAATTTTATACCATATAGTATTATTATTATAATATATATATATGTATCAGATCTTATAACCATATGTAGTTATAGGAATGTACGTAACCTACCCTGTAACCTTTCTTATTCTTATAACTTAACAATTAATAGTATATTTTTATGCTTTGGAATTATTATTATTAGCCATTGATGCCCATTCCTTTTCGTCACCTAATAAAAAAAAATGTAAACAGTACGTTTACCTCTCTTGTTTACAAGATTTTTAAGGGTTGATAATTTACATGCATTTTAAAATTTAATGATCATTTTTTTAAGTATTAGCACAGATACATACATTTTTAGCATCAAATATCTGTTTAAAGATAAATGTAATATCGTTTAAATTCTTAGAAATCTCAAGAAATAAGTTACTTACCATCTATTGTTCCGAATTCTCTTTCATGAGCTCTAGTTAACACCTGTTTATATAGTATTTCAGCTTCTTTATATTTGCCTTGTTTTAAATAACAGGAAGCTAAATTATTTTTTGTTTTAGCTACATTGGGATCATCTGGTCCTAGCTTCTTTTCATATATTTCCAATGCTCGTTGATAATATCGTTCTACTTCTTCATATTTACCCTGTAAATTAAATAAATATTACTTTTCATAATCTTTTGTATTATACATTTCCTATTAACTTTATTTATGAATAAAAATTAAATTTACTAAACATTATTTAATGCTCCGGAATAAATAATTATACACGCAAAATAAGAAAAGTATGATTTGTTATCTACATCATATGTCACGCATAACATAGAATAAAATTTGAATTGTAATAATTTGAATTCTGGGATAACATAAGACCATATAAACTATTCTATAGATATCTATCTACATATAATATTATTACATCATCTTTTAAAATATTAGTTATTATTTAAAGCTTTTATATTTTAAAATACTGCGGTGACCAAGTTCTAATCATCATTGTATCTCAATCCCCTAGTACCCTACATCACCAAAGAATTAAAACATGATGATATTGATGTTATGAACTAAGTTAGTGTTACGGTTTCATCATTTAAACGTCATAAAATAAATGGTACAATCATTAATTAATTTTAATATTTTCAAATTATAAAAGGAGTAAATATAAAATTTAGTGAATAAATACTAATGATAATTATAAACAATAATACAATGTTGGACATGTTTAATTTTTTGTTTTAAATCCGTCTTTCTTATTTGATTAAAATAAAAAATGTGTTATAAGAATATACAAGCAGTCAAAAATTGACAACATTATGTAGTTTCTATGGGCAAAAATAAATAAGACCTTTAATCTACTCTAACCATTTATAAAATATATAGATTTACACAGGGCATACCCTTGATTTTAAACTTATTTTACTTGATATTATTACAAAAGAAACACTCAGTCAAAATATTTTAATATTGTATCAAGTATAGAAAATGATAAAATATACATTTGGGGAAAATTTGAAGTAGCTGCTGTTATTTGTAGAATTACAACAAAACATCCAAAAATTGATAGAGGAGAAATGGTTAATTTACGGGTGAACATGCAATGTTAAAAATGTTTAAATGCAAAAGCTCACAAAAAAATATTGTGACTTTTTTTATTATTATAGATAGAAAAACATGGGAGGAATTTTGTATTAAATTAATAACAATAATAATTAGACTAATCTTTTTTTTAAAATACATAGATTTTAGGAAGTCAAGCAGGATTCATACTACAACGTGTCGTGTGATTTTGTATTTTTATGTTTACACCAAAATGCAATATCAATGATATGAATATTGTACTTAGTGATAACATAATATTATTTTATTTTAGTTATCACTTATCTGCACATAAATGTAACCACACGGTCAAAAGTTGAATATATTAAGGCGGGTTTCAACTATAAACGTACGCGTATAGGTGCATACAAATCATTTACTGTGATAGGTTGGTTAGGTTAAGTTACCAAACGATTAACCATGATACCGTGTTGTTAGACGTAGCTGAACATTTTTCGTGTATACGGTAAACGTGTATAGTGGGAACTCGGCTTTATTCAACTATGAGGTATCATTTGGTAACTGTGATTGTTTTACACAACCCGGTGAAGTGTGAACCCGGCTCCAAAATACCTTGAATCGCTAATAATATACCTATATCATATGTATACTAAATATATTAAATATTACATGAAAAGATTTTAGATAATTTTATAGAAGATTTATATTTTAAAACTTTAGGCATATTGAATACGTTTTGATAAATTTAATAGAAGAAAATTATAGTTTGAATTTGTTCAAATCCCAGTAACAGGACATAATTTTTTAAGAGTTAGTAGATCTGAAGTATCTATAACAAGTAATATTAAAATCTTCTTTACTATGTAATCCTGGTTTCTTATGGAACTTTTTTTAAAAAAAATCAGTTATCTCCATCAGTAGCAAATAACGATCTAGTAATAGTCAATGGTGTACCTTGTTCCAATTCTACTGATGCTGCGATTCTATTTTCAAAATATTTTTCCTCCTAGACATCTAACATCCCAAATAGTTCTTATTTTTTAACTTGTTATTCTACTTTAAAGCTCATTTTTTGATGTGTATAAACTTTGTAAGCTTCTAGCTGAGCCTGTATGGCTTATATTTAGGCATTTAATCCTATTATATTTGGAATCCTAAAACTTGGTTAAATAAGACTTACTCTGAAATCACATGATTTTGCTGTCACGTATAACCAGTGGCGTATTTATAAATTTCTTATGGGGGGGGGGAGGGAACAAAAAATGAAAATCATACAATATAATTGTATTATAACTCATATTTTTCATCTCAAAATAATGCAATAAAAAAGTATAAAATATGGTGAAAGAGAGGCACACGAGCCCCAAGTGCCCCTTTAAATACGCCCTCCTACAAATTACCATCCTATTTTCCATGACAACTGCTGATGATATTGGATCTATACTGATCTAGCTAAGGTTTTCGATCTTAATAATCACAACATGCTTATGAATACACTAGAAAGTATAGATATTAGATATTGATTAACTTCATCTCTCAAACCTCTTCCATTCCTACATATCCAATAGAATACTTTGGGTAAAGGTTCTCTCTATTATTTCTGATCAATATACTTCCTTTTTTAGCATACTTCAAAGATATGTACTTTCTCCATTACTATTTTCCTTATTTCCTACGTTGGTTCTCCAACATGCAAAACTTCTAATCTTTGCCAATTATATAAAGGGCTTCCTACAAATTCAATTTATTTCTGATTACCATCTACTCCAAAAGAACTTTCAACGTCTAATAGCCTGTGGATGGGCCTTCAACTTAATATATATAAGTGCACAATCATGACTTTTTCCACTAATAAAATTGCTTAAATTGCTAAATCTTTAAAAGGAAGTCTAAGAAATAACATGGGATCTCAACTGGATTTCTAGTGTACACTAATTTAGCCAATGGTTCATCCTTAAAAATACTAATATTGAAATGTATAACACCACTAATTTATAAAATAAATATACAAAAAATTACTTGATTTTGGCACAACAGGGCTAAGTTGTTCAATTGTTTAGCTACATCTGGATGTCCTTTACCTAATACTGCTTCTCTGATTTCTAAAGCTCGTTTACACAATGGTTCAGCGTCTTTATATTTACCTCGTTTCCCATAAAGTACTGCTAAATTGTTTAATGTTGCTGCGACCTAAAGTATTAAAGAATATATTAGAATATTATATATAATATACATAAACTATTAACAATTAAATATTACAGCGGGATGATTTTCTCCTAGAGTCTTTTCACGTATTGCCAAAGCATCATTCAGTAAATTAGCAGCATCTTTATACTTGTTTTGATCTCTACAAATTTAATTTATAATATTTTTTTTCATAACACAATGTTAAATATTATTAAAATATCCAATAATATTTAAAGTTATTTTTATAGTAAAATTACCTATAGACAAGAGCTAAAATATTCAACATGGTAGCTACGTCTGGGTGATCATGGCCTGATGTTTTTTCTAAATCCTCCAAAGCTTGTTTACATAATGGGACAGCAACTTCATATCTTCCTTGTGACGCATACTGAATCACTAAATTATGTAATGTCCTTAAACGTGCTGGAATCTCATAACCAGCTCCAGCATTTACTTGTTGAGCAAACTGTGATGGTGGTGTAGGTGACAATGCTAATAAAATAAAATAAATTATTAAAACATAAAAAACGCTCACTATTATTCTGATTTGGACTTAAATTGTACAATTAATCAATTTATTAAAAATGTTAATAACAAACTTAACTTTTTTTACCTAATTCATGTATATTTAAAAAAATGTATTACTTTATAACAACTTACTATTTCTTTCTTCATTTTCATCATCTGGAAATAAATCAACAACCGGATCATCATTCTTAGATTTTTCTTGTTTATTTTCAGTCTGATCTTCAGTCTGTAAGTAACTCATAAATGCATTTAAATGGTCTAAAATCCAAATTTTGATTTATAAAAAAAAGTAAGTACCTTATCAGCATCAAATTTACTGATAGATGCCATAAACTCTAAATGTTTATTTTGTTCATCTAATAATGCAACAGCCTGTTCAGAAGCTTGTAATTTTTGTTGTGTATTTGCTAACTCATCTCTTAACCACGCGTTTTCTTGACAAAGTCTACGGACCTGAGTTCTTAATTTTTGTTTTTCTGCTTCTACATTTTGAAGATGGGAAGCCAAAGCTAACATAACCTAATTAAAAGTTTGTTTGGTTATATTTAACTATTAGGTATTAAATACAAAATTATTTTGGATAGACAAATAATATAGTTAAAAAGATAAAAAAAAATAATTGAAAAACCAATAGATTCATTGTAATTAACAAAACCTAGATAAAATATAGGTATACATTATATTGTCAAAAAATAATAATATTATATACATTATTAAGTTAGACTATACTTAATAATGAAAATTAATTATAGTCCTCGACACGAAAATTGGCCTCTGACCGTCTTGAACCTAGCAGCCATTTCACCAAAGGCTTTACTAAGAAACGGAATTATATGTACTAAAAACGTACAAAATATTCATGCATTTATGCACTTAAAATATGCAACAAAAATGCATTTTAATTAATAATTAAATTAAGAGCAGTAGAAATATGTGTACCTAATTGAAATATTACACAATTTTTATCCTTATTTTTTGATTTGACACAAAATCATGGATTTTGGCAATGATTTGGTTCATATACATTGATTAAATAGTTTTTCCTTAATGTTGACTCGTCCGGACATAAAAAAATTACAAAATATGCAAAAATTTGCATTTGAAAACCATTTATATGCAATGAAAAATCGTAAAACACAGTAATATGTAGAGACGTCAAAAAGTAGGAAAATATGCATAAAACTTTGTATTCCGGATTTATTTACTATAATTCAAACTTGTAGCATATATAGCTAATTTTTGTTATGATAAAAACGCATAAAAACCTGGACCCTATTTATTAAATATTATCGATAATTAAAATTAAAATACTATAGGGAATATTAGTTATTAAAACAATAATTAACTTTGGTAGAATTCTTAACAAATGTACTGTGTAATATCTCATTAGGTACTAATTTATCATATTTATTATTTATCAAAAAAAAACATAATGCTATTTTATTTAACCATTAACCGTAATTATATTAGTGATATATGGGTACCTAACCTAACATAATTATTAACTATAATATATTTGTTTAAAGAGTAGACAATATATATTATACACAAATATAAATAATAATTACTTACTACTGCTTTAAGTTAATAAACAATATATATTATATCATGAGTTATATTATATACATTAGATATTAGTTATTACTTACAAAATTGTATTAATTGAATGTATAGAGAAGTTTGTAATATGAGGTTGAAGATAATAAATAATTTTATATTGAAATGAATTAAAAGAACCCATTGTTTGAATTAGATTATTGGAGGTGTGTAAGGGTTACAATCTCTTATGCTATTTTTTTTTTTATATTTTGAACCATCCTTTAAAATATGTTCATTAGAACATGAGAAATTATTTTTAATTTTTACTTCAAAATATAAAGCAACAAACTACTTAATTTTAAGGTTTCAAAAGTGGCAAGTTATATAGGTACTTTCAATTTGTAATAAAAAACTAAACTACTAACCTGAGCTTCTCCAAGACCCAATTCTGTCATATCTAAAGTTTTTTGGAGCATTGACTGTTTTTCTTCTGGTTGCATTGTATTTTGACCAGAAGGGTTATTAGATGCTGTTAACTCATTTTTGAGGGCCTCCAATCCTTGGGCAACAGTCTTAATACCCACCATCATTTCTTCTTGAGACATCACAGTCATGGTAACTAAAAATAAAATTAGGTTATAACTTTAAATTATTTATTTAATAATACATAAATATAATGAATATCTTCTATATTCTTTTACTATTTAATTATAATTACAATTATTTTTGAAACAGAAAATAAATAAACTGTTATTAAGATCTATGTTGTTTATGTGTGTATAGCGAATTACTATAAATGAAAAATTTAGAAATGTGACTTAAAAATGGAGATTAGGTCTTAGAAAACCAGTCCAAATTAAGGTAAAGTTTGCCTTCTGGGGTAAACCTCTCAAACCCTTCGTCATGAGCGTCACTTGAGTTTTTATTAAAAATAACTATATAGTAAAAGTGTTAAAGCGTGATAGGGAGTTATTCATTAAAAAGAAAATAAGTATATCCTCCCCTTTAAAACACATCCTCAATATTAATAATATATTATTGTTAATTATTTTACACTTTGAACCAATCATGATAGTTTTTTTTCTATGTGAGAATTTGAATTATAAACAAGAGGGGCTAAAAAGTAAAAATATGTAAGGAAGCTAAAAATCTCTATAGGAGGCACCTCCCTAGTTACGCCAATGCCAAAAAGCAAAATAAGTCACTAATATTAAAAAGAAAAAAGCCGGATGTTTTACAGACTCTAATGAAATGCATTCAAATCAAGGATATTAGTATAGGTAGAAACAAGTTAACTTGCTCTTAAAATCTAAGATATCTTTATAACATAGAGCAAAACAAAAATATTACATAATCAAACATTATCAAAGATAGATTAAACAATTATTCTTAAAATTAACTTAAAATTAAATTTAAGCCAAACATTTAAAATACATTAGATTAATCTACTTTTATATTACTTATTTATTAATCAATTTACCTTATTTTTGTAAACTATTGGTTAGAAAATATAAATAACCTTTTCCACAATACTTTGTATTTATAAACAGTTTCACGTATTTTGTATGTTATATATCCATTCTAAAGAAAATCAATATATAGGTATTATACTTTATTCAACAATATATAAATACTAATAACGACTACCTAATAATAATATATTAATATATAAAAATATTTTAATTGCCTTACATTATTTGACAAAATCAGTTTTTTAATGTATCTACATTAAATAAAAGAAAATTTATCATAAATATAATAAAATATATCATAAAATATTGTGTGGTCATTCTTACAACATTGTAAACTATCAATACCTATAAAAGAAATTATTTTTTGGGTAAAAGTAGTAATAACAATAACATATTGAGTGCATTTAAACGCTTTATTAGCAAAACTGCAAATACATATCCTAGTGGGAAATTGCTAATCTATAAGTACGAAAAGAATATTATTGATTAAAATAAAATGGTTTTAATGTGATGTATTCCTTACTCGTATATTTCGCACCGATGTTGCAACTAAAGGCACACGCGACTTGTAGACAGTAGTTCTTCTGACATACAAGTAATCAGTTATCACACATTTGCGCGTAGAGCCATAGAGATTTTAAGATTTTACGAACAATAAAATGAAAATTAACATTTAACAGGTGAATGAATTCAGAAAAAACCTTTCACATATACAAACGTATCATGTATATCGTATATTAAATAGGAAAAAAAAATAAAATGTTGGATGGTTCGTGAACAACTGTGGTATAATATGCATATGACATCACAATACCCAGCTTAGGGTTGTCCTTATCAGTTGCTACACAACTATCGATTATTTGTCATCCTTTAAATCTTTAAAACATCGTTTTTACGTGGAGTCGAGTTCGCATGTTTCATATTGGTTGTAATTGGTAACACGGGTTGGGAGTGTTGGGACTACAGTAAGTTTGTTAACTATATGATAACCGATGTCATTCCGTATATCACATAACAATATTATTCCGATATTACTTATACACGCCGTGTACACGAAATTGTTGAACTGTATTAGATCCAACAACACGGTATCGTGTGGTAAGAAAGAATGAACCAACCAATCACAGCAATGATTTTGTACGTTTAGGATGGTAGTGGTAGATTTGCAAAATGCAATAGATTGTGGAAACAATAAACAATGGAAACCCACTCGATTATTTAAACAATACTATACTTTAATATTTTACTATTTTTAATTTTAGTAACAAAAAATTACTTTTTAACGCTCCAACGGACGTCGCTAGGCTTTTTATTACTTTTCTATGCCTTGTATGGTAATTAAACCATTTAATTTAAATTTTTATTATTGAAAATAATCGAAAAATCGCAATAGTCGGAACACAATTTTTTTCACAATCGATACAAATTCTGGATTGTTGTAAACCACATTATAGTTTATACCAATATGAAGGTAGGTTAGTAGGTACTCGATTTGTGTATTATTTTGAATTTTGTTATAAGTGCGATCGTCTCTGTCAATAATAACCTTAAATTTACGTCTATACTAGTATACCTACTGGCTACTACACTAATAATATGTTCTGTCGGTTCTGATATATCTGCTCTAAGTATGTATATCAAAAATGACAATTTGTCAATACGCTTGGTATAGTTAACATTGTTAATACTCGTACCCCGTTCACGTATTGCTACTTGCCAGTGTAGATTCTGCGTGTGCTTTGTTGACTGACTTAAGGCTTAAGTAATTAGTAGTTACTAGTTACTAGTTTTATTAACTATTTTTCATCAAATGGTTATTATTTATTATCTGATATTTATTTCCAATTCGGATGTTTTATAAAATACTACGTATTTAACTATTATTTTATATCTATAACAGTTTATTTCGCCGGTATTAGTCTTGAATCTATATTGTGGATCTAATTGTTGTGTTGTACATTTTTGTCATCAGTTTGTCCGTTTAATATTAACTTAATATTCGTTGATAATATTGTATTAAAATATATATTGTGAGTTATGGGTGTATAAGTTAAAGGTAAGATTTTAATGTTACTAAATTATCACAAATGTACCTATAATAATAATAAAAATAATATAATTTGACTTGTACCTAGGTAAGTAATTAAACTAGGTACTTATATAAATATACAAGGATTGTATTATATGAACAGTCCATACCATTTTTCAATGATTAAACAGCATTTTGGCACAATATTATGGGTTGTGTCCGACACTCTGTGTTTAGATGCTTATCATATTTTTGACCTGTAGTTGAAGCAAAACTTAAGAATTCTTGCAAAGGCTAGTCGTCGTGTCCAATCACTGCATGGAATCTAACTTGAAACTGGGTTTTATTTTTCTATATATTTTGTGTAGTGTATTTTCTTCATACGTCTAAGAACTACACGCACTATACATTTTTTATCATTGTTTGGTGTTTATTTTATGTTAACAACATTTAGCAAAAATCAAAATGCCGTTTTCATTTTGTTACGGTTGTACAATATTACAGTGTGTCATTTGGAAGACCTCATATATTTTTTTTGTACATAGTTCCTACAACTCTGAACACTGTGCACGGATAAATTAAACTGTTGTGTGTTACTAGGTTAAACTGCTTTTGGAATAATAATGCCTATATTATTTTCTCTACTAAAAAGTTTTTTTTCTTAAAAAAAATAGGATGTATAATTTATTATACTTTCATCTTATCACTTTCCTTCGGATTTCGTGCTTGAGAATTTAAGAAAAAAATATCATTTACATAGTTTGACCTTCTCTATACAGGCGCAGATCCAGAAATTAAAAAAGGGGGCTAGATAAAAAAATGTACGATTATCAATCACTCCTTAATGTCAATAAGCAATATAATATAATATGTTTTAAGTATGGTATTGCTCCTCTCTAACCTTTGGTTAATAAATTGAAAATAAAGGTAATCTTTGAAATATTTAAAGTGCCTACTTATATTTAAAGCTTCAGCCCCCCTTGTATCAGCGCCTGTTTCTATACTGTACACACATTAGCAAAATTATCTATTTTTATTGTTATCCAATAAATTTGCATAAAATATATTGTTATCTTTCCCATTATTTAAAATATAATGAATCTTTGAAGGAGTAACAAGTTGTAAAGTATTACAGTTTTTAAAAATGAATTAAGTTATGTTATGAAAGAACACTTATTTTTACAGATTTACCCATGTGTTTACTTATGCACTAATTATACAATATATTTTAGGTTGGTTTGTATAGTTTTAGAAAATGGAAAGAGGTGGAAGAGGTATAAGAAGAGCTAGAGGTGGTCGTCCATTCATAAGAGGTTTTTATCGTGGTAGGACACCAAATAGAAAAGGAACAATGCGGCGTCCAATGGGAAGTAGATCAAGACCGTCTAGCTCTAGAGATAAATATGAATCTTCATACAATGATAATGATCGAAGTGATTCACGTGAAAGATCGTGGGATTCTAAATCAGGCTCCGATAAAGATGTCTCAAAAGAAAAACATGATGGAGATGATTCTTCGCCAATCAGCAGAAGTAAATGGGATAAAGATGAAGACCATAGTGAAAAAAATGATGAGCGTTACTCAGATAAAAAAGGTTATTATGATGCAAAGTATTATAGACGTGCATCTGGACACCCACATAGGGGTTATAGACGGCCATACCAAAATAATTATTGGGATAGGAGTGATCGTGGAAGACATCACTCACCACAAAGTCAATATCGTGTAAGACCCTATAATTCGCCTTCTAGGCATAGACGTTATTCCCGTTCTCCTGATAGACGTCGATCACCAAGTAGATATCGATCTAAATCACGATCTCGATCTCACTCACATTCTCCTAGCAGATCCCGACGCTACACTACTCCAAAACTTAGATCGCCTAAGAGAAGATCTCCATCAAGACGGCCTAGGTCACCTAATGCACAAGATCAGTCCATAGAAAAAACTCAAGCAGTAAAGAGTAATTCTGATGACGAAAATAATTCTGATGATTTTGTTGAAAAGTTAAAAGCCTCAAAAGGCTCGAAAACACCAGGCAGGGTGGAGTATACAGAAAAAAGTGATGATGAATATTGGATTGAAACTAATAAAAGTGATTCTAAAGATACA